TCCCTTTTATCTCCAAAACTGGCAGAGATAGGTCCATAGTTACTATTAAACTTGAAAAGGAAGTCATATACTGGCAATTTACTGTGACCTTGAAATTGACCTTTGACCTACCTTACGATGAATTAACTTTGATTGTACCATTTTAAATTATATATATTTTTTGCATATTTTGAAAATTCTTGTTGATTGCATTTTTACAGCTTGTCAAGCACAAGACTGGTGGCTGTGTCCCTTACTTTGTGTATGTGGGGGTCTATACGAATGCGCTTGCTCCAGCTGGTGGTACAATATTCGGAGGCGGTATCGCCTCTCTGATCCTCTAGTTTACTTTGTTGTTTGTTCAAAATGCATTAAATTTATTGTATTTTAATACAAAATATAAATTGTTCATAAATCATCAGTTGAAAAAACATACCTGTACCTATTTGAATTTCTTGTTGCATATCTGGATTTTTCCAGTACCATACATATATGTGCAGTTACGTTTCAGATTAATGAGCTTTAAAAAGAAAACTGAATTTCACACCCACGATTCTCTGAAAATTTGCCAGTTAAATGAAATTTAGGTTATTGACACAATTGACACATTAGAAATTAGGCTTCCGTTAGCAGTATGTTTTGCTTTGTGTTTATATACATATAAATGCAATACCACTGTATGCATGCACACATTACATATACAGTACATACTAGTCTTACAATAGATCAGGTTTTTAGCCTTTTTGTAGTTATGGTATTTGAATTTATCAATATGAGAAATAGAGAAGAGACCAAACCTGTTTTCAAGGCAATGTTGGATAAACTAAAAAAAAAAAATAATAATAAAAATATTATTTGAGTGGACAGATGGTGACTTTGGTAAATATTCTATAAAGGTTGACAATATGTTTTACAAGTTAATAGCATGCACACTTGTATACATGTTTTGCCCATAATAAAGCATTATAATATTATATGAATTTTGGCTGGGCTGTCGCAGCTTTTCAATAATCTGCTAAATTTAATTTAATTACAAGTATGTGATTACCTAATTTTACTAATTATGTTCTTATGAACTAACTTCAGTTAAAATAAATAAATGAAGTATATGCCAGAGGTACTCCATACTACTACTTTGTGATTATTTTAATGAAGATTTTTTCACTTTCAGATTGTCAATGTATTTGCACTGTGGACTATCCTACTGGTGTCGGACTTCAGCCTGCTGACCCCTGCCCAGTGTTGGGTTCTTTTCTTGTCCTGTGCAGTCATCATAGTCTATGAATTCACACTAGGTGTAGTCAGAGTTCAGGATTACTTCCATGCCCACTATGCCAGGTAAATGATGTTCATTATACCTAACCTCTGAACTCACCGTGACCTACGCTCCATACTTGTAGAGTCTGTTCACAATGCATGAATATAGTCGGGGCACTTTTCACATCAGGGACAGCTCCGTGTAAAAAAGGTGCGCTATACCAAGGTGTCGCTATTCTGAAAAATCTTTCTGGACATGTAAAATCAGTTGTTCGCTATGACGAAAGTCTGCTTTGGTTCGCTATGACGAGGGTTGGCTATTCCGAAAAATAAAATTGCGATAGCTGCTCTTCACCAACTGCATTATTTGTTGCATAATCATGATGAGCACTGAACTTGTCAGGAGAAACATTAGATAAAAACTTTTTTTTTGTATTTTTAACATATTACTTAATTTACCAATATGTGGGACAATTATAAATTATTTTACATTAGAAATAAAATGTATTTTCTTCAAAGTCTTTGGGCTCTATATATACGTGTGTTTTGGATTCAACCTTCATCATAGCAAACCTTAATTATATATAGTGGACCTTCAGCATAGCGGAAGTTACGGGCAGCGAACCTGCTTGGAAGTGATTCATGTAGTTGTTATGCACATGCACATCATCAAATGAATTACCTAAATTTACACTCACTGATATATTTTTGATTTGACCGCATTATCCCACAACACGACAATGTTAAATTCCACATAATCAACGTACTGGTGTCAAATCTCTTTAAATTCCCATTTCCACTATGCAGATATTAATGACAGTAGCATTCTCAGGTATACAATATCTCACTATTAGAGTTGCCCTTATAATTAATTATTATACTAAGTGTAGTTACCAGTTGCCTGAATCATCATTCTATCAAATGTTAATTCACAAATATATCTCTTTTATCCTTGCTGCTGTAAAATGTAGGTTGAACAAAAAATTCAAGAAGCAGCAGCCGTTTGCCACTGCGGCAGTAATGGAGGGCAAACTAAAGGAGAAGCTTGAATCCCTCGGCATCGCTTTTCTGGCTCTGGCGCAGGGAGCACATGGTGTACTGAACTATTGGTGTAAGCTGGATTCTGTTATTATTGGTTGTCAAATATATTTGATCTGGAATAAACTAATGTGCATTATCATTTACTAGTACTTTGAAAAAATGAGCAAGCCACAGTGATTTTTAATTGATTGATATTCGATGTCTGTTTTATGTTCTTTCAGTCTTAATTAACTACGTAAAGCCTTACATGAGCACATTGTGATTATTACTTTACAGGTTTCCTACTGGGCTGCTAATAAATAGTCACTGTACCTCATTGGTTGCAAAGTTATAAAAACTTTATGTGGCAATTAAAACACAAAATATTAATCAGTAGTGTTTTGGAATGTAGGTGCAAGACAGAGGGGAATATGGCAGTAATGCTCATAATAGCCTGTGATAATTAGGGAGCCCTGATACTAATAATAATAATTTTAAAATATTAAAAAATGCAAAGGGTTTGCAATTAATTCTCTTTGATATAATCTGTTGGCCCATTCAGAACAAGCTGATCCACAGACTAACGGATCCTGGGACCAAATATGGCTGACCCACTTGAAAGCTTGCCACATAATCCCCTAGTAGACACTGAATAGATTCTGCAACCTTGAAGTGGGTTGGTCATATTTGATCCGCGGATCTGTTAGTCCAAGGATCAACTCTGGTTGTTAATGCTGCCTACTATGCCTACTTAAAAAAACAGTTATTTTCTCCATGCAGCTGGAGTTGCCGGAGTGGTCTGCCTCGTACTTAGCATTCGTCTGGCACATGCCAGTTTGAGCAGAAAGTTAGAGGCTCGCATAAAAGAAACCAAAGGAAACAAGTCACACCATAAAATTAATGCCAGTTTAGCTGCCATTGATCTTCATGAGAAAGAGGGATGCTCCCACCGACCCCTGTATAACGATGATGGGTCTAAGAAAGTTTATCACAGAAAGGTGAGGGTGATAATTGATAGTATTTTTGCAACTCATTTTATGATTGATTTATTGTGATATGAACACATTCTGTTTTTCTGTAATGGAAAAAAAAACACAATTTGAAGCCAAGCTGTCTTTGTTTTTTAAATTTTGCATATTATAAATCACATAAATATTTCTCACCCATTTTAAGTATAATTTTTAAAGAAGAGACACAATTTATCAATATTTTGGCAATGTTCTGTAATAGAAGCATTAAACCAATTCATTAAAAAAATCCATTATCGTAAAATATATTTTTTTAACAGATCCGATTCTCTCAGTGAAATGTTTGAAATTTCCATTTTAGAAACGTCCAGACGGAAAGCACAAAAAGATTGAGGAAAATGAAGATGTTTTCAGAGGTAAAGATCAGGAAGGGGCCACAGAAAACTTCTCACATCTGCCTTACAGCCCAGGCAATACAGGGGTGTCCACCTTTGAGTCAGAAACAGACACTGAGACTGACACAAGGAGGTCCAGAAGGTGGAATAAAGGAACCAAAATGGAGGACCAAAGGTCAGTCAGCGCACAAGTTAAACCAGAGGATTTCATTAATGATGAGTCAGGTGAGAAACAATGAGTCAGGTGAGAAACGGAGTGAAATCTAAAGGTATAGTGAAGTCATTTTAGTGAATATATACATATATCTTTTTTAATGGAATGATACTCTGTCATGTTCAAACTTCTGAATCACGTTTGTGATTAAAAAAGAAAAAACTACACTTTTCTAATGCTTATTAATTTAAATGCAGAATTAGCAAAATATTAAAAACACTGTAACAGTTGTAAAATGTATGTTGTGAATGGATATTAATGTTAAAGTTTAAATTTATCTAAGGGGAATCAAAATTGCCTAAAATTAATTCAGAGTCTTTTTTTTAATATAATTTTTATTTATTTATTTATTTTTTATCTTTAATATTCTCAGGCAATTCCACCACAAGTAATGACTCAGCATTTGTTAAAGATGAGAAGGAATCTGATAAGTCAAGTGGAAGTGGGAGCAGTGGAAAGAAAGGGTTCGTTTATTTATATTGATGCATTATTTTTATTATTTTTCTTTGCTAAACACATGATAACATACTGGGTAATATATTTGTCAATTTTACCATCTCCATAATGTGGTTGGGAGAGAATGTTGTGGACATATATTTAAAACAAAAATGGTTGAAATATGTACATTGTTAGCTTGTGTCTGATGGGCTGTAGTAGATGCTATTGAGTTGATTCAGCTTTTTTGATTGGTCTTGTCTTGAACTAGTGTCCTCTGTTGTTCAATACTTGCAGTTACATGTACCATGGTATAACAGTAAGGGTCAGATGTTCTCATCAGTGCAAACTCCATAGGTATATTAATCATATATGCCAGCATAATAGAATACTACAACTGAAATCATGCTATTCAAAATGTTATGCATCCTTCACCAAATGCAATTTTAGCAATGCGATATTGATTTATTAGAAAAATTTAAATAGTTCAAACTTGTTATCAATTAAGTCAATGATTTGGCAAAGCATTGATAGCAAAACACCTTGAATGAATATAGAGATTTCTATAAATATGATAGTTAATTTGACAAAAATGAAAAATTTTAATGAAAATTAAATAATTTGATTCTTTCTATATATAATTGCTTTCTGAATTAAAAGCAAGCACTGCATGCAAGAAAATAATTTGTCCCACCTCTAAATATCTGAATTAGATTCCATGGCTCGCAACAGTCAGTTTTCTTCTCCAACCATTAGCTCAGACATAAAAACATTTACCTTAATCAATTATAATTATATGATGGTAGTTAATGCAGAACATCACAGGTAGCCCAGACCCTGGCAAATTTCACTTGTTTGTAATCAAGCATGATTTGAGGAGTGGGATCAGAAAAAGTTGTAACCAGACTAGTAATTGAGAAGTGGCAAATTAACAAGTTGACAGTATTTATCCACAAATATTTTCTCTTGATTTGCAGTCTTATGAATTGCATAAAACTTCAACGTACCTCATCATGTTTTGCCTGTGACTTTGTATTAATTGCTTTGAAGTTCTTAGTCAACATTTCCAAAGCATGCATAGAGTTTTTACCCTATCCTTGGGAATTTTACCCACATTACAGGCCTGGGTGACTGCACATGCGATCAGCTACTGTTACAATGGACATTGACACTTTTAAATCAAATCTGAATGCTTATCTTTTTAAGCAATGTTATAATCAATTTATGAGACTTTCATTATTCATTAGACATTTTTAATCTTTGATTTCTGCAAAGACTAAAGAATTTTTAAACATTTTAATAATAATCTAAGTTTCGGTCTTCATCTTCACTAGGTTTTTTTTCCTAATAACTGATAAATCCTGACGGTATGTTAATATTGCAGTACACAGAAGTATATATATATATATATATATATATATATTTTTTTTTTTTTTTTTTTCATTTCAGAAAATACTCAACAGGGTCTGACACAGAGGAGGATGAGAAAGCCCTGTACCGCATCCGGCGTCGCTCCCTGCCAAACATAGACATAGATGGCAGGGTGGACAAGATATACTCCATTGGTTGTTTTGATCTGTTCCATAGGGGCCACGTGGCAATACTGCAGAAGATGAGAAATATGGGTAAACAGGTGAGGCCGTACCATAATGACTGGGTTCTTTTCATGAGGAAAATTGTGAATTTAACAGCTACTTTTATTAGCAATTTTTTTGTGTCACAAGCTTTTAAAATCAGAACTTTTCTCTTTAAATTAGTGGTAGTAGCAAAACTGAAAAGCAGCTAGATATACATTCAATACAGGAAAAGCGCCAATAGTTCTATATACATTTACTGGTGCTTAGGGTAAAATATGATTTTTAAATAATGATTTCAAAATAATGTACCTGAAAGATTCCTTAGTAAGAATTAAAATTAAAAATTAATAAAGTCTCTAAAAACAAGTAACTTCAGCTTAAAAGATGTATATATTTTTACTAGGTTATAGTTGGTGTTCATGACAGCCGCAGCTACTATAAACTGAAGAACAAAGTCCCCATTGACCCAATAGAAAAGCGCATGCTGAACGTAAAGCAGTATGCAGATGTGGTATGAGAAACAATGCTTTCTAATTAATGTGTTAGTTCTGACAAGTGTTTTTGGTACATTGTACTGTACAAACTACTGTGTAATCTCTTTGAAGTTCTTTTAATACAGATAAATGTTGTTTTTATGTAATATTTATATACATCTGAACTTAGCACCAATCATAATTTACATAATTTCGTAAAGGTAACCAAAATGTTTCAGCACTGATTAATTGGTGTTCTTTTAATTTCCTGAATTAATTGATGAAGTCAATTGATGAAGTCACAAATACACATTTCAGGTCTACTGCATCACCAGCACAGATCCATCCAACTTCATCTCGTGTATTGTGCACCTGTGTGAGGGGGAGACCGCCCTCTACATCCGCGGGGATGACATGCAAAACTTCCCATCCCGCCACGTGGTTGAGGCCCTGATGCCAATACGCTTCCTGCCCTATACGCAAGGCGTGAGCAGTACCAAGATCCGTAAAGAACTGTTTGCCAGGATCAGGAGAGATAGCAACGAGTGGCTGAGTGACGGAGCAGTCTGAATGAAAGTCGCTGACATTATTAGGTGACGATACAGGTGTCCTTTGAGTGAAAATGATTATTATATTACATGTATATAAATATATACCAGTATACAAGTATAATAAATTATGGCTCTTGCATTTGGTATTTATCTATAATTTATACAATAGCAGATTCAGAAGAACTACCTGCAGCAGTCTGCATATGAGTATAGGAAATACTTGCTGCTGCTCGCTTCTAGTCCATGTCTTTTGGCTTGTGCTAGTCTTGCTATGATCATCATTTTTACATGATTTTATCAAATGCTTTTCACGTGTGATGTATTTCTATAAGCACTGTGGCCAGTCTGAAGTTTTATGTTTAAATTACTGAATAGAAAAAAAAAAATCGGTATACAAGGTTTATTGAAGTACACATTTCAAAATAATTAAAAGGTCTTTGCTCAAATTAATTAGAATACTGGTATGTGACAGTGTTATTTGTAAGCAGGTTGTGACCTTAATTTTACTGGTTTTCATGACTAAGTTTTTTCTCAATCAGGGGTCATACTGTTATGTGTTGTTTACAAATGATGTAAAAAATATAAAACTATTCAATACATGTACATTTCATTTACAGTTGAATTTCACTAAATTATTTTACAATATACCTTTTATTTATATACACATACTCTGCTGATTTTTTACATTTGCAATAAATATCAGTATTGTAAATAAGACAGGGTAATTGCATTGCATTCCCTGAAAAACATTTCTAAATCAATAATGAAATCTTTGGAGAATAATGTGCCTGTTATTATAATAACACTCAGATTATTGTGAAACAGCAATTATCTTTGATGAAAAAGAAAGAGATTGCATTTTATCACTGTTGACAGTTCTTTGAATTTTACAATATATTTGCTGGTTTGATTACTATTGTCTGAATTCTGAATAGATTAAAAATGCAAAAATATGTATAAATTACAATTATTTCCATTCATATAGACATGTAAACCACATTTTCATAGTGGCACAATGGTAACATATATTGAACTCCGTGTCATTATCTTCTTCTATACATCTTGGCTTTAAATTGAGCTTGTCAGTAACAAAAGGTTGCAAAAATTCTGAATTAGACTCTACTACATGTACTGTATAAGTAAGCTGTGTATATTCAGATTGGGTTATACAAGTACTTGTATCTGTGTAAAGAATTTCATTTATTTGATTAAGAAAATACTTGTGTAGGGAGAAAAGATTAAAATGATACATTGATGTTGGTGAACAAAAGTATTAATTTTTGTAACTTAGAATTTGAACCAGTATTGAATTGAGACATTGTTTTCAAGATACAAATCTGTGCTGAAGTTTACGCCATGTACGTGTATGTCAGTCAAATAGACACAATGCTCTTTTTCAATCTGACTCGGAGATTAAAAGTGGACCAAAGAATAGTAAGTTTCTGATATGTTTGGTGATTGTAGAATGTACAATTGGAACTATATATGTATCAGATAATATAAACAGTATTTTGTTTTTCCTCACCTGTGTGTGAAACAATAATGTATCTCTCTCTTTTGTTACTGGTGCTGTTAAAATTGAATCTATAATAATGATGATTAAATGCCGATGCATTGTAATTTCCTTTTTTATTTATTCTGCATGCTGGTGACTTCTGAGAAGTCAGTTCCTATGACTGCCAAACATGTTTGATTAATGATTGGGCAGCATGAGAAAATTGGCATGATCAGGTTGTTTTAAATTAAAATTTACCGGTACATTTTTAAAATTTTGATAAATTTATGGATGAATTTTCTCATGTATTTGTCAACATTTGCCCCTACAGTACAGTTTTTAAAAGTGTCAAGAATTATTCATATTATTTATTTTTGTTTAACTTCAAATTTGCTGAGCAGTATTTGAAAATTATAGGCACGATTGGGTGTTTAATTATTTAAATGTTTTTGCATTATTATATTATAAATAGAGTATCGCAATACAATTGAAATAATTCAATTATTGTAAGAAAAAAGTGTGCAAATATTGCAGTGATGACAGCTACATGGTCTTGTTTATGACTGAAGCCCACTGATTGAAATACATTATACACTTCATAACATGCAAATGTCATATCCCCATACCGTGAGACACTACTTCCATAAAACTTCCACAGACTTGTGCATAAAAAAATAGGAACAATGTTCTTGTTCAAAAACCAGTTTGATTAGATTTTTTCTCGAAAGCCGAGTCCTGTTCGGCTTGAAAGTAATAGATGTTTTTCACAACTTGAAATTCTTCATACTCGTTGATAGAAGCAATCCATTCCTGTAAGTGTTGTTTGTTAAATATTTGGCCTGACAAAACATATCAAGCTTTAGGCCTGAGATGACATGTAGTAGACAACTTGCGGCCTCATGTGACTTATCTCCGGCCTCCAGCCTGTTGTCTCTTATGACCTAGAATTGATGACTCACGCTCTTCTCCAAATAAAACCTCTTTGTGGATCTATGGAGAGTGGCTCCTCAACCAGCTGAAATATATTTTCAAAGAGAGGCTAGTAACAGAAAATAAGGTCAAAACAGCCGCCATATACAAAACGTGAACAGGTCTGAGAACCGGCCGGCAGAGTTATAAAAAGGAATTTGTATATCATGTAAGTATTCGATCGTAATGAACAAAAGCAACATTTTACATTGCCTTCAAATAAAGACGCTGAGGTGGTTTTTGTGATTCATATCTTTTTGATAATATCACGAGCGTCAACTTTAATCAGTGTGACTATGATTCATTACACTCAGTGTGGAATATTTTAAGCTAATTAAATTATTATGCCCATTAAACTTCTTCTTAATAGGCGATCGAAGTCACATGAACCGCAGTTTTATAAAGATAATGTATCACAACTCTTTATCACGTTGATCAGAATACTTTTAGATATAGAAACATGGATTAAATGATAATGTAGTTTATCCATGATTCGTCAGTCTCTCTCTCTCTCTCTCTCTCTCTCTCTCTCTCTCTCTATATATATATATATATATATATATATATATATATAATTTAAGTTTTGATTCATACTTGTATACTAGATCTGTTTGTTTATTTTTTTCTTCAGGCAATCCGGCATCTCCCTTATTATAGCAGGGCTAGTTGTCCATGTGGTATTCTTCATATCCATCTTTGATATCTATTTCACATCACCGCTGGTGCATGGAATGACACCATTCCAGACACCACTGGAGCCGCCATCTAAAAGACTGGTGTTGTTTGTAACTGATGGTTTGAGAGCTGATAAATTCTTTGGAGCTGATAGAAGTACAGCTCCGTACATGAGGTAACCCTCATTTTGCTATCAGAACTTAGTGTTCATTCCCAATGTAACTGTCAGTCTGCATAGATTGATTAGATTTGCAGATTCACACAGCTCCTCCTGGTGTTGAGTAAAATACAGAAAAGCTGGTGATTATAAGTCTTAGAGTACATTGGAAACAGAGAGGCTTGTTAATCTGGTTGCATTCAGTAAGAGTCCCCCAGTTGGATTGCTTTATGTAGACCAATAGTTTCATTGGGAATGATCCCTTACAGATCTGAAGTGCTGTGAAGTTTTTGTTCTTAGGCTGATTTGCTAAGGTTTGGTTAGACCCTTAGTAGCAGTAGTTAAAATTTTTAACTGATCAAGTGGGCAATTTTACTTAAAAGTGAAAGTGATGAAAAGAATCTTTGTTCTTCATTTGACTTATTATAATAATCGTATTTATAATATATTGATGATAATAATAATGATGATAATTTAATTTATAATAATAATAAAACAAAGAGACATACAATTCCACCATACACAGTGGATATAACATGATGGAAAGTACAATTTTTCAGAGATGTGATAGAAAAGCGTGGTGCGTGGGGGATATCCCACACCAGGGTCCCCACCGAGTCTCGCCCAGGTCATGTGGCTCTTATTGCAGGATTCTATGAAGATGTTAGTGCTGTGGCCAAAGGTAGAAAGACATGATCGATACCTGTGATTGCATTGCAGGACTTGGACTGAGAAAATACTGTATTTTTGTATTGCCACACACATACATACATACACACACTCAAGCATTCACACAAGTGCCCTTATTAATTCATAATTGCATAGCCAAGGGTTTATTGACTATACTGATTCTAATATAGTTCAGTCTTTTTGGGTCAGACCTGCAATACGAATATAAATTCTGTGCTAAGCCACATTTATGTCATAAGCTCTCAGCATGTCGAGGGTTATATCTTATGGTTTAAAAATCTAGTCCAGACTTGTTGGTGATAATAACATCAAAAGTATCCTTTCTTATCTGTTTACCCCCTTATTTCTTTACAAGTAACTAAAAGTAAAAATAATTGATTTATAATAAACACAGTTAATTGATTAAGTATAGTTTTTCAATAAATGATTTAAATATTATATGTCAGATTACTCTTCGTTTGTTGTAGGATGGAAAGAAAACCCAGTTGAGTTTGACTCTGTTTTTAATGAAAGCCGAACAACTTGGTCTTGGGGAAGTCCAGATATTCTACCAATGTTTGCAAAAGGTAAGGGTATAAAGTGGAGGTGTGGAGTGTATTTTATCCACTTCTGACTTTTTTCTCTCATATTGAAATATGGTCTGTTAATTAAACACCTACAAACTTTTTTACTTTGATGTTTACATTGTCATTGTATTGTAAAATGTGCAAAGAAAATATAAAGTTAAAATTATATTAACTAAAGTTTTATTTTTACTAGTTAAAAAACTGTAAACTCAGCAACAACTAGCCTTGGCTATACATTGGCAAAATGATTTCATTTTTTCAATTCAGTTTGATTATTTTAATTAAAAAAAAAACAAACTTGTACATGACACTAAAAATTCTATTCTAATTTGAGCCTTGATTCTACTCTAAATGGCCATTTTNTGACCTACTTTTCACCATGAACTGAACTTTGCAAATTTTGCTTCCCTTTTATCTCCAAAACTGGCAGAGATAGGTCCATAGTTACTATTGAAGTTGGATAGGAAGTCATATACTGGCAATTTACTGTGACCTTGAAATTGACCTTTGACCTACCTTACAATGAACTTAACTTTGATTGCACCATTTTTAGTTATATATATTTTTTGCATATTTTGAAAATTCTTGTTGATTGCATTTTTACAGCTTGTCAAGCACAAGACTGGTGGCTGCACCCCTTATTTTGTGTATGTGGGGGTCTATACGAATGCGCTTGCTCCAGCTGGTGGTACAATATTCGGAGGCGGTATCGCCTCTCTGATCCTCTAGTTAACTTAATGTTTTACGTCTCTCAGGTGCCACTGGCGACCATGTTTTCACAAAGATGTACCCTGCCGCAGAGGAGGACTTCGCTGGCTCAGACACCACCAAACTGGACACTTGGGTCTTTGATGAAGTTGTGGTAAGTTTGAAATAGTAAGGGTTATGAATGAGTTCTGTTATAGTATAACCAGACCTGTGTAGTGAACGTGTATTTTGCATGTTTTATGAAATGTGAGATAGACCTAACTCATAGCTGTTGATGTAATGTAAACCCAGTACTTTGGTTGTCATATTATACTATAACAGTGCTGATAATACTATATCAGCATTCTATAACAAGCTGAGTGATTCTATCACTTGTTTTGAAGGCTGTGTTGATTAATCTATATGCAAAATTTGTGGTGTGTGAGGATATGACCCCCCCCCCCTTTTTTTCAGCTTTCAACTGATTCAGAAATGGAAACTTTATTTAGTCCAGAAGAACACTTTTCACATAGAGTGTAATATTATTATGACAACCACAATTTTGCTTACTGTAAGTGCTTCTTTATTTTCAGGAATTTTTTGAAGAAGCAAAAAGAAATGCCTCTCTGGCAAGGCTTCTATCCCAAGATCAAATTGTGTTGTTTTTGCATCTACTGGGTCTGGATACATGTGGACATTCTCAGAAACCTCACTCAGAGTAAGTAGTCATTCCAAGAAGCCATGCTAAAAGAATGACTTTAAATTTGTGTTATTTTTAAGCAAAGGATGCCCTGGACTGCACCTGACTGTTAAGTGCCTTCATATGACAATGGTTGACTAACCAACAGTATTATTTAATATCAGTTAGTCCTATATTTTATGTAGGTGTATTGCTTCTTTAGATATAACAATATGGATTGATGACCTATTATCCCTTTATTGTACCACCAGCAGTGTTTTATTTACCTCTGCGTCATGCGTAAAAAACGCATGAATCCTAAAATTGACGCAAAAAAATATGATCTAGTGCGTCATTTGACCCTAATGTATGACAGCCACAACTAATTACTTTCAAAATTGTTGTAATATTGCCGATTAAAAACCTACATGTACTAGTAGGCCTATTTCCGATCGTTGTTGTGTTGCAAAAAAGTATGTCAACTTGCCACCGATAGTACACTACTAGTACAATGCTGCTATAGGCACAATACGGGTTTTTTAATTCAATTTAAATATTTTATTGTGTTTTAAGATCCAAATGTAATTGGTTTGACATAAAAAACAGTTTAGTCCGCAAACTGGTGACAGAGATTACTCTAAATGGTTAAAATATGTTACACTACGTGTATAAAATCACAGGTGAAATGTCTAGTATTGTGTTTTTATGTTTAATAGTCAAAACATAATTTTTCCAGATTGGAATATAATTTGTTATTGCCATAGTAATTATCTATTGAAATTCCTTGTCTTCATTTATCTACTTTTTT